TCAAAGGTATATCTGAATGTAAAATTTCCTGCTCTTTTCACTTCCGGGGTAAAAAATATATTTTTCCATTTAAAAAATGGACTCGACCTACAAATGACCTTGAAGGTCAAGGTCAAGATCACGTCATATTGAAGGTCAAGGTCAAGGTAATATTTGTGACTCAATCCTTAACTATACAATTATATTTCAGGTTTAACATATCTAGATTATAGTAATAACTATTAAATTTTTATCACAAAAAAGGATATTTTAAAAAATTACTTTCAATTATACTTAGAATAGATGAATTTATTTATTATAAAAAAGACAAACAAAATTTTATTTCTAAAACACAAAAATTTGTTTTATTTGGGTCTCTAATTAATAAAAAAATGACAGAACACCATTTTATTTGACTAATATATTTATAAATAATATGTAGTCCAGAAAGTAGCCAATGCGCCAAATGATAATTTTTATGCTAAACTAAAAAAAGGTAGCGAAATTTGGCGCAAAGTAGCCAAATCTTGCAATGCTGTAAAGAATACTAAATAATGCTGGACATGGAACTCAAAGGATTGTAGACCCAAATTTGAGAAAAGGAGAGAAATGTTAAAAGAAAAAAAGTAGTAAGAAGGTTGGAAAATTAAAGGTCAATATTTGCATAAGAGAAGGTCTGTTTAACCTTTCTTACTGCTATTTATCTTTTGGCCTTTCTCTCCTTTTCTGAAATTTGGGTCTATAATCCTTTGAGTCACAACTTCAGCATTATTTATTATTCCTTCGTCATTCACACATCTCCAAGTATTTAAAAATATTTTTTTTTCACTCAAACATGAAATATGTATAAAAGTTTACAGCTTTGTGAAACTTGTTTTTTGAGTTTATGCCGTCGAAATAAATAAATAAAAATAAATAAAACAGTTTGTCGATTCTATTTGCACGTTTATTGGGCCGCATGCGGTCAGCAGGCCATGGGTTGGACACCCCTGGTCCATACCTTTTTTTAAAATAATGAGATCCAAGTAAGATATTTTATTGTCTCAAGATAAAAACACACTCTGTATAATGAAGAGTATCTTATTAATTAAAATTTTTGTAATTTTCCTAAAAATGTTGAATAACTGCTTTCGAAAAAATTTTTTCGTGTTAAGTGAAGTCCGAGTTATTATTGCAGTTTACTATATTTAAATCGCCATTTTATGATTGTAAGAAATATTTTAAGTTGTATGAACCCAAAAGTCAAAAATACTTTTTCGATTTTTTTTACCAAGTTAACACTAAAAAGGCTTTTTATTAAATCCAAACACAACACCTTATGTTACAACATAACATTTATTAATTGTGTTTTGATTTAATTTTGCTGTATGGTTTACTTGAATATTAATATGGCTTTTTTATTATTGCATTTCTCCATATTAATTTAGTTGTGTCTGTCTAAAAAGCCTAAAAAATTATTTTAAAATTGGAGAAAAATTGCATAGCGCATGAAAAACTATTCATATACGATCAGTTACTTCATATCGTTTTTTTCTCTAACAATGTAAATTACACAGGATTTGATAAAATGCGGGTTTTTTAATTATTTCTATATAATTTGTTCAAACATATAAAATATAAAAATATGATATTTTCAAATTGCTTTCGATTACTTAGGTTACATCTATCGACATTTCTATTGGGTAAAATTTTATAGGAAGATATTGCTTTTCAATGTTGAGGTAGTAAAGCTTTGTTCATTTTCTCCTGAAAAAATAGTAGACCCAGCTTACATTTCACTGCAAACGACAGTAATCCAAAAACACAACTTCTTCCTGATGTTATCGTTATACATGAATAGTCTGAGCATTACGCTATCAGCGAAAATTGCCAGGATGCTTGTTTTCTTGCAACAGAAGTAGACTATCTTTTCTCTTCTTCCTAACTGAAGAAAAGTGTATTTTCTATGGAGGTCTATCATCACAAGGTTCCAGAAAAAACATGAGATTTATGCCAAGATGCAACAAATATACTTTGTGAGGGACGAACAGACCCACAATAGAGTGTTATTTTAAATTTTAATTTGGAAAATATAATCGGTTAAATTCGAACGTTTTATCGAGTTAGGCTAAAAGCCATAAAATTTATTTCCCACGGAGTTTGTTCCTTGTTGAGTCGAATCAAGTTAGTCAGGGATGTGTCACCAGGAACTTTTGATAGAGAATCCATATTGGACGTGCGACCGTTAAAGGCCATCACCTGACCTCATGGAAAAAAACCCAAGAGAAAAAAAAAAGAGAGAAAAGAAAACGATCCCGAGGTCAGTCGTCATCCGAAGTCCCTCTACAGAAGTCGTCATTAAAAGCCCGCCCGACGAAGTCGTCCTCCAAACCATTAAAACCGTGCCCCAGGATTAAAACTGTAACACCGAATTAAAACCGTGACCAGGATTAAACCCGAGAAAAACATTCGTGCTGGATTAAGCCTCTACACTCCTCCGTGCCTCCACCCTAGTGAACGGACAAGATTCTGATTCAAGATTCAACGACAAGATTCAAAGAACTGTCCATCCAAGAACTGTCCATTCAAGATTCAAAGAACTGTCCATCCAAGAACTGTCCCTTCAAGATTCAAAGAACTGTCCATCGACAAGGTATTTATCAACCCGCGATTCGGTTGTAAACTCTCTCTCTCCGCGGCCTAGTATCGTTAAGAACAATAATATCCCGATAGTATTTANTTTTTTTACCAAGTTAACACTAAAAAGGCTTTTTATTAAATCCAAACACAACACCTTATGTTACAACATAACATTTATTAATTGTGTTTTGATTTAATTTTGCTGTATGGTTTACTTGAATATTAATATGGCTTTTTTATTATTGCATTTCTCCATATTAATTTAGTTGTGTCTGTCTAAAAAGCCTAAAAAATTATTTTAAAATTGGAGAAAAATTGCATAGCGCATGAAAAACTATTCATATACGATCAGTTACTTCATATCGTTTTTTTCTCTAACAATGTAAATTACACAGGATTTGATAAAATGCGGGTTTTTTAATTATTTCTATATAATTTGTTCAAACATATAAAATATTAAAATATGATATTTTCAAATTGCTTTCGATTACTTAGGTTACATCTATCGACATTTCTATTGGGTAAAATTTTATAGGAAGATGTTGCTTTTCAATGTTGAGGTAGTAAAGCTTTGTTCATTTTCTCCTGAAAAAATAGTACACCCAGCTTACATCTCACTGCAAATGACAGTAAACCAAAAACACAACTTCTTTCTGATGTTATCGTTATACATGAATAGTCTGAACATTACGCTATCAGAGAAAATTGCCAGGATGCTTGTTTTCTTGCAACAGAAGTAGACTATCTTTTCTCTTCTTTTTAACTAAAGAAAAGTGTATTTTCTATGGAGCATCACAAGGACCCAGAAAAAATGAGATTTATGCCAAAATGCTACAAATATGTTAAAATATACTTGAACCGGTCAGGTTGGTCTATATGATTTCTGTTTAAAGCAGACTTTATTTACAGCTCAGAGGAAGATTAGTAAGATCATGTTTAGGAAAAGATGATATTTTTGCAATAATAAAATGCCAAAAAGTATAGACTTCTTAATCTTCTTTCTGTGATAGTAAAGCCTTTAAAAAATAACTTTGACCAGACTCGAGTGGTCTGCTGATAAGTTTCAGTAGCTGGACAAAAATTAATTTGGTATCAGAAAGCATAAGTTAAGAAAAGATGTCATGCCATTACAGATATAAGAGAAACCGGACTGAATAGTAAATCATTCACTACTACAATATTTTTTGATATAAAAGGAGCTTTTGGGAACTGCTATTACTTTAACATATTTAGTAAAATTTTCAATTTATATTTTCCCAAATATCTTGTTTTTTTAATTCGTAACTATGAGAAAAAGTAATATGAATCATCACTCTTACTTACATAATAAACTTCTTACTAATCTCACCCTCAAGGTGGACTCTTGTCTCTCTTTTAAAAAAGTGGTTTTGAATGCACTGTTAAATTTAAGCGTGACAATTCTATAAATGTTCAAGTTTATGCGATGACCTTGTCGTCATGTGTTAACATAAGGGCATTCATATTGTGGAAAATAAATTATAACGAAAAATGTTGTGTACAGTATCTAAATGAGCCTTTGTTAATTATATCCAATTCTGTACTACTAACACCAAAGCTATGTTCTTCACTAAGAAGTATGAAGGTACATACCCAAATATACTAATAACCAGCCTGTAATGTGTCAAAATATCTCTACGTGAAAGCATTCGATTTAGACCATTTTCATGACTACTGGCTCATATATACAAGAGAAATCTTTTTCATACATTACGTTTTCTCAGTACGTACACTATGTAGCACCGATGAAATTATAACATGCGTACAGTGCAGAAACACGATTGTATCATAAAACTGAGAAATAGCAATATCAGAGAATATGTGAAGAAATGTTGCGACATTTTATTTTTATTGGAATAAGAACGACGTTAGAAATTTGAGTGGTTATTCGAGTTTTTCATGCAATTAATAAAGAGCCCATCGAAATGCGTCAAAAATTAACGAAAAGACAGGTTGACAAAATTATTCATATTGTTGTGCAAAAATAGAAGACCATACACTTCAAACTATGACGTGGTCATGCATTAGAAATGCCAACAAGCGATTCATTTCCATCTACTTGACAATTTGATTACGATTCTTCCTAATTTGCATTCGTTTGGATTAAAACGATTTTTATAAATTGCAATGTTGCAGAAAAAAATGGGATAATCATATTTAATACGCACAAATTTGGATCATCAATTTCGAAGTGATTGTACCTAACATTGTGGCTGGGGTAAATATATTAACTAACATTAACAATAACCACGATAAAAAGTAGCATATATTGCATGTTTTATATGATGTATGTTACATTTTTGCAAGAAAACATCTTGTTCATAAATCACAATTCCTCCCGCAGATTACACAAATTTATCAGTACAAAATTAACGAAAACTTACTCTTATTACAGAGTAGTAGGAAAAAGGCAAAACACCATCCATGTTATCCACATCTTTGGAAAACCGATTTAAGATTTTACCTAGAAAATTTCATAATGTTATTTATAAATTAAATTACTTACTTATGTAATTTATTTTTATTTTAGTATCGTTATTATTTAAACCATGTGCTAAGCAATATATCTGTAAGGTAAAGTTAGTCTTAGATTTTTGTACCTGTAACTTTGTACAATAAACTTATTTGTCAACACAAACTATTTAACTAGAGCGTTTTTACTGTGTATATTATATATACACAGTAAAAACCGTAATATATGCTTATAAAACGCTAAGTATGAAGTTAAACTCATATAACAATTACAATTGCTTAAATTTCAACAATTTCCTTGTTATAAAAACGTAAAATCTTTAAGAAAGATTCTTCTTCAACTTTCCTTCAGTTTCAACGTCTGACATCCCTTAGTAAGATTTTACTGCAGAAAATTGGTATCCCTTTTATTTTAAGTGTTTCTACATACCTTATTTTAAGTGTTTACAAATATCTTATTATTATACTGTGTTTTCGCACATCGTAACAAAAAAACAAAAATGCAATTTTATGATATAGCATGAAAAGTGTATCCCAGCTGAAAGAGAACCTATTGTTTCTTGAATGCTTTATCTTGACGGTTTCATTATCCTGATGTTTTTCTCTTGTATTACCTTGACAGAGAAGGTACTGAAATAAGGTTTTAAAAATTTGGCATCTTATAAAGATAATTTGTTAATTATCCTTTCATTAATTAAATGCATGACAATGTTACATGAGTTTTTTCAAGAGGAAAATTTTATAAAGTTGTTTTCACAACACCTAACATGTAATAAATACGTAAATATTTGAGTTGCACAAAAGATATTACGAAAGTTGCGGCCGATGTTTACGAGGAGAGAACGTGTATGTCGGACGTTCTGCACCACCATCCTGTAAGCCTAGAAGTTAGACAACGGCGTTTGGAACGACGAGAATGATTCCACTGATGTTCCAACCGCCATTGTTAAACTTCTAGGCTTACAGGATGGCGGTGCAGAACGTCTAACGTACACGATTTCTCCTTTAAAACTTCAGCCGCAACCTTGCTAATAAACCAGCACGAGTTATTCAACTTTTCTGACAACATTACAAATTTTTGTACTGCGATTTTTTATCATATTTTATTTTAAAGCTTTTATGTTTTTAACTATTATAAAATGGCAAAAAGCTAAATTTTCAGGTAGGAATGGGTTAAATAAATAATTGTAAATGCTAATAATGAGAAAAATCGACATTATCTCCAATCTTACTAGACACACTCATAACTCCAATTATCTTGCACTTCTTGTCCTTTGAGCACCAAAATTTAATAGCATCAATCTGCTAATAAACAAACCTCCCTGAAAAATTTCATAAATTTTTGACAGAAACAACAGGAAATTTTAATCTTCAAACACGGTGAACAAATTCATGCTCTTCTATACACTATTTTCATACATACAGAAACAACCTACAATTTTTTTTCTTTTTTGCATTTTTTGACATCTCAAGGTGTCTTAAGTACAAAAATGAGAATAATCTTGAAGGTCATATTTTGACCTGGCGTCATACTTTCCCTCTGTTACGTATAGAAACTGGAAAAGTAATAAACACGCTATTCTTAGACTAATAAAATGCTTTTATCTCACAGCTGCCACGTGACTAACATTGTACACAAAATTTTGAGGAGCTTGCAAGAGTGCTGTGTTAGTGGTGTCAAACATAATTAATGTGATTCATTAAAATAACATTGTAGAATAAATAAGTCTCTAAAGTATAATATTATTTATATTCAATGCTTTTTCTTAATGTATGAACCAAGTTATATTTTATTCCAACAAGTTTTTGCGTTTTTATTTTCAAAATGAAATTCTTGTGCTAACAATTGTCACACCGCTTTGTTGTGACTATTTCATTGAAAAAAGTTTAATTTTACAATTTTACAAATTGTACACATTTTGTATATTTCGTTGAACTGTCATTCAGTCATGTGTACCAAGTATTTATTTAGTAACATTATTATGATTTTTAAAGTAATAAACTTTTCAATGCGCATACGATATAATATGCTAAATGACAAAATTTTGGTGGTTCCTGCGTTATTTCTTCAATATGTTAATTTTTGAAAGAAATAATGATTTGTTTAAAAATCAAACAGAAATTTTAATAGGCATGAGTTAGTTTTATTTATTCAAATTATTTGATAGTTGGCAAAGCAAAAGAAATATTAATTCATACATCTACTACTCGATACTTATCCAAATAATTCTTTTTCCAAATGTTAAATAGTACTACAATGCATACTCAAAAAATATAAAAATTTACTAGGAAAAAATATCGTCATCATGAAAATTATATTTAATAAAATAAATAATTTTACGTACCAACAGGATTGTTATCCAAAAATGATATTGGAGTGCGAGTAATACAATGGAACATATTGTTGTGCAGCTTAGATGATGCAGCAGTCAAAAATTTCAACAATAGTAAGCCAGAAAGTGCCATCGTGAGAATTACTGCACATATCAGTCCAAAGTAAATATATACGTTCAACTCTTCACTATAGTATAAATCTGTATCTTTACTATTGTTAAAATTCGTTGTTTTAAACGTAAAATTTTGGATTTTTTCTGTACTTTGTCTATACATTCTTTTGTTACGCAACCTGAAAATCAAACACGAAATAACAATTAAATATTTTAAATTTTTCAATATTTATTTTACATGCAAGA